AGCATGCCTCGTTTAGAAGAGCATTCACCTTTCTTTGAACCAGAAAGGCTGAAGATGAATATCACACTCTAAGAATAGTGTGGCTGCTATTGTCCGGGGTGCCTTTTTGATATTGAAAAGATGACAAAGAAATCGATTCAAGTATGTTTGGATAGAGTATCATTTAAAACATTTCTTGTGATATAATGTATACATATAGGATAAAAGGTGATTAGAAATACAAAAATATGAATTGAAAAACATGTTTACGAAACAAACGGAATATTATTTGGAAATAATTTCAGAAACATTCCTTGAGGTTTCTGACACCTGCACCGGCCTCTCTCAAAGTTTCAAAAATTTCGAAGACCTCCCTTATCATAAAATTGGGTTCCAATGCTTACATCAAACCCGGTGAAATGATGACAGCCTTACAGGTTATAAGATATGTGGCAACTAAGTGGACTTGATCAATTAAATCAGCAACCAATCGAATAAATAAAAATAATCACAATTTAAAACTAAAACAATGCAATATTTGTTCAAGCCTTTTTCTATGGCATGAAAAGATCATACCTTGTTATTCCAGTTCGTGGTTTAAACTAGTTTTCTTATTATATTTTTAGTGATTCCACCTCAATTCTTTAATCTAAACTCTCTAGAATTTCTCTGTGATTGTTTGTTGGTTTTGTTATATAAGTATTCCTGGAAGTAACTGTTATAAAGAGCCGCCGTTGCATATAGTTGTAGAAGCTTGAAATTGATACTTTGCATTTGCAAGCATTTGTACTTAGGGGTGCAATCAAGTCAAGCCGCTCGCGAGTAGCTTGCGAGCGGTTTGGTCAAAAGTTTGGTTCGAATTCGGTCAAATCGAACTCGAGCTCTACTCGTTACATTCAACGAGTCGAGTTCGAACTCCAAAAATAAATACTCGAGTGCTCGACGAGCTTAATCGAGTTTTCATATTATATTTATATTATATATTCATATTATATTTATATTATATATTTTGAGAAAAATTTTATAGATTTAGTTCAAAGCTCGAGCTCGAGCTCGAGTAAATCGGGTTTGATATTTAATCGAGCTCAAACGAGTCGAGCTCGAGTTTAGTTTTATTTTATCGAGTCGAGATCGAGTCCAAATTTATTTACTCGTTCGAGCTCGAATAGCACTGATTCTGATCGAGTTCGAGCTCGAGTATGGTGCTACTCGAGCTCGACTCGGCTCGATAGTACCTCTATTTGTACTTACACCTCCTAGTTTGTACTTTATTTAAATGACAATTTATGCTTTTATAATTGATTAGCTAACTAACGTAACATATGAAGGGCATCTCTAGAATCATATGGTCTTCTCTCGCTTGAACCCAGTTTTTTATTGTTTAATTTTTAAATTGGGCTTGACTTATTACAAGCTAACGTGTTCTAGGGGAGATTTGTAGAATTTTTAAAAATTTGAGGGAGATCAGTGCAGTTGATGGAAATCTTAGAGGATGTTTCTGAAATTATTGGACTTTGTTTGGATTGGCCATTTTTTCAAAAACAAGTTTTTCAAATACAATACTACATTAATACACAATAACTAAAAAGAAATCCCATCCATACAATATATCAAATATTTCAAAAAAATTTTATACTAAAAATTTTTCATATACACTGCTACAATAAAATTTTATAAAAGCACCTCCCAAAAATAGCTAATCCACACAGAGCTATGATTATTTGAGAAAACTTCGCTATCCAAACAATTATCGGCAATTATCCTACTACAATCAACCCTTCGATCAACAATTGTCCGTAATTATCGCCACGTACTAGTGTCTTTTTCTAGCTTTCATTCTTCTGTATTTTTTTTAAAAAAGGAATATCAAATTACATCATAATCATGTAGAGACACAGTTAGCCCCAATCTGGCAACAGCATCCAAATAAAAACAAGGGATAATTTCATAAACCTCCTTGAGGTTTCTAGTAATTTCAAATAGCTCTCTCACATTTTAAAAATTATACATAACTCCTCTAGAACATAGGTTTGGATTTCACCTTGATGATGTAAGACCAAAAAAGTATATGAATGTCCAAAATTGCCCTCATCTAAATTTCCTTAATATGAATAATCATTAAAATTTTTTAAAAGTCAAGAATACACTTGTATACTACTAAAATTATGAGATTTATTGTTTAACCAATGTTTTGATATTTTCCATCCCCATGGTTTTCTACATCTACTCAAACTTTCAAACTCTTATCATTTCTTCTTCTTCCAAACAAACTCTTTGTCTTAAATGCCAAAATCTACCATCATAATTCTTACTTTCATAATCTTTACCTCTCTATAGATTTCTTCCATATATAATCTTTACCTCTCTATAACATATTTGAGTGATAGAAGGAAGGAGATATCTACCGTGATCAGCATATTTGAGTGATAGAAAGTTACAATTTAATAACTATAACTGAAATAGTTTAGCCACAATATATGGTCTAGTCAAGAAGAATTGTTTTCCTTTTTTCCTTTTACCTTTTTCTATTATCTTTTCCCTTTTTTGTCAATGGCTTTTCTTTTGAAAAATTATGAAGGTTATTATAGTTATTGTCTATCATCAAGGGAGGTAAGTGTAATATTGAAAATCTCAAAGGACCTCTATGAAATTTTCAGAAACCTCAGGAGAGGTTTTTGAAATTATCCCTAAAAACAAAAACAAATAGTACGAAAATTCACATAATCCAAACCCTTTACATAGTGCCAATTGCAAAAATTGGCAAGGATAGTAGCATCTTTTAGTAATTAGCAAGGATAGTTGCATCTTTTAGTAATTAAATAGTACGAATCAATCAAAAGTACGCAAAAGATTTTCGGAATATTAGGCAAAAGAGTTTAGAATAGGGATAATTTCAGAAATCTCTCATAAAGTTTCTAACAATTTTACTAGCCTCTCCTGAAGTTTGCAAAATTAAACAAACCTCCCATGAGATTAAGGTTTTGATAACAAAATTAGTCCAATTAGAAAAAGTAACATTAAAAAGTACTTTAAGAAGAGAGATGAAATTTTTATTCCATAAATACCTCTTATGCATGTATATAAGTTATATTAGTAAAAGGATAAAAATAATTAATACACATATTTCATCACTCAAAAAGTTCACATCTAATAAATTAGACAATACAAATAAGCAACAAAACTACAATAATGATCACAAGATTCAACAAAATAGACTAATCATCTCTTTTGGAATGATATTTACTATGATTTTTGTGATTTTCAACCAATTTTTTTTTTAATTTTGCCTTTCTTTTCCCTCCATTCTCCTTTATTATTATCTAACGATGAAGTAATTAGAGTACTAATTAACAAAAATAACTGTTGAAAACTTTTTTAATGATGAACGATGACTTGTATTTATAAAATAATATCAATTAATATACCTAATAGAGGAATGAGGAAAAAGAAAGGCAAAATTTGAAATTTTTTTGTTCAAAATCACAAGAATTATAGCAAACATCATGCTAAAAGAGATAACTAGTTTGTTTTGCTGAATCTTGTGATCATTAATATAATATTGTTACTTATTTGTGTTATCTGATTATTAAATGTGAACTTTTTGAATGATGAAATGTGTGTATTAATTGTTTCTAACTTTTAATTATTTTTATTCTTTTACTAATAGAACTTATATACATGCATAAGGGATATTTATAGAATCAAAGTTTCATCTCTCTTTTTAAAGTATTTTTTTTAATGTTAATTTTTTTAATTGGACTAATTTGGTTATTAAAACCTTAACCTCATGAGAGATTTGTGCAATTTTATAAATTTTAGAGGAGGCTAGTAAAATTGTTAGAAACCTTAGGGTAGGTTTCTGAAATTATCCCTTAAGAATAACAACTCAGCCTCTGACAAGTCTATTATTCCGAATCCATCGCGCGTTCACTGGAATATGACTGTTTCATTAATTATACGTTAAATGACATATTTCAGTCAAGTCCTCCCCCGATCCTGTTTCCTCTCAAGGACAGTAGGAAGAACTTGAAGAAAACGAAATACGACTTGCCACGTAGGTGGACAACCGATCAAACACTTGTCAGATGAGAAGTAAAAAACATCGTGACTCCATTTGAATTAATTATTTTTGGGGATGTTTTTAAAATATTTTACTGTAATAATATATGTGAAAAACTTTTATTGTAAATATTTTTAATGATATCTTTGGGATGAGTTAAAATTTTTATTTTCAAAAAAAAAAAGAGTTATGATAAATTTTTAAAATTGCATAAAATCTTACCACCACTCCTCCCCCCTCCCTCTTCCCCTCCTCTATTTTTGGTGGTGTTTTTTGAGATATTTTTGGAGATATATGAGATGTATTTTTGGGGTATTTTTATAATTTAAAATATGTTTGGGTGTTTTTTAAAAAATTTACACCACTCATCACCACCACGGCCTCCCTCCCTCTTCCTTCCTCTCTCTCCTCCTCCTCCCTCCCCCCTTTATCTTTCATCCCCTTCCCCCTACATTCTCCCCTCCTTCCTCCCTCCTTCTCCCTCTCTTTCTCCTTCTTCCCTACCTCTCCTCCCCTCCCCCTAGGCCCACCTGGAGATTGCCGACCCAACCTTCCTCCAAATCTGGTTGCAACCAGAAGGTCACGATTACTGCGACCAAAAAGTTGCAGCTGGAGCTGTTGCTAGTTCTTAGGGGAGGAGAGAAGAGGAGAGGGAGGAGGAGGAGGAAGGAAAAGGAGGAGGAGGAGGAGGAGAGAAGGAAGGAGGGGAGAAAAAGTGAGGGGGTGGAGAGAGGAGGGAATGAGCAACAGTGGAGATAATAGTGATGGTGAACGGAGAAGGAGGAAATAGTAGATGGTGGTGGTGGGTGATGGTGATTAGAGGAAAAAGAAAAGATGATAAAATTTATTTATATTTTTTTAAAGTTGTATTTGAAATACAAGGACTGTTTTTTGGTGGTGTTTTTGAAGTGTGTTACGTAGATTTGTAAATGAAAAACAAGTATTTTGAAAACTCTCAAAATCCAAACGAAGTCCATATATTCCAGGGGTCTCCACTGACTCTCAAATACCTTGATGGGTTGTTTTTTTTTTGTTTTTTGTTTTGAGCAACGATAACATTTATCCTATTTTATAGAGAGAAGAGGTTAAAGAGACTGTAAAAGGGATTAACAGTTATATAGATGACTAAATTTAAAAAAATGCTAGTAGATATACAAAGATCTGACTAAATCAAAAAGTCCTTTAATTTTTTTTCATTTTGCAAAAAAGACTTGACCATTGAGCCAACTGGGTCAGCGGTTCCTTACGGACTGCCAAGAATTCTGAAATTTTCAAGAATGTACGAGGCCTATCAAGTTCACCAACCGAATCTGTGGCACATATCACTTCATCTATCCAGTCGATGAAGATTTAAAGGTTGACATCTGGCAACCATCAGCTTCTGGACCAATCTTACATGTTTCTACATGAAAATTTTAAATCCAAAGGCAAATCAAATACTACTAATAGTAATAGTAGCAAACATCAACCACCATACAGTCCAACCAAATCACATTTTTCATGCTGAAAGTGAATGCACACACAAGTCAAGCTCACACGTAAACTATGACCATTAGGGGAGATATGATAAGGCTCTTGCGTTTGGATCAAAGATGTTTGACAAAAGATTTGAAATTCTATTGAATCCTTATTTTTATTATTTAAGAGGTATTTAAATTTATAAATTATTAATTATTCTAGCATTTAAAATATATTTTAATAATATAATTGTATTACAAACTATCAAGAAATCCAAACAGTTACAACGATTTGAATAAATTTTAAATTATTTATCAAATTCCTCAATAAAAATGAAGCCTCGGAGAATTTGGAAGAATTAGTCCCGAAAGACAATAATCCAAATACTAATTAGGATTTTCTGCTACTGCTCTGCTCATAGGATAGTTAATTTGGTGAACCTAATAGCGTAATGTTTCTGCAACTGAATTAGGCAGAAGCAGCTAAGGTTGCCCCCCGAAAGTACCCCAACTGCCAATACCCTGCGCACACCAACCCCCCACCCAAAAAAAAAAAAAAAAAAATCTCCTACCTCCTCCACCCCTCATCACCAAAAACCAAAAAGAGAAATCTATTCTATTTGTACCCTTTTTTTTTTTGGCTGAAATATTTTATTGCCACGTGCAGGCATGTCAATGAGTAGGGTCTAAATTGGATCCCTTTGATTCAGATCCAAACCCATTTAATTTAGTTTGACCCAGACTCAAATCCATACCCTTTTGGATCTGAAAAAATAAGTTCATACCCAAATCATTATGGATTTGGATATCCAACGAGCATCTATGGATATTTTCTGAACATACTAAAGTAAAAATGTATTTAAAATATATAGAGTTCATAAATACTATAAATACCATCCAATTTTTGTTTTCAAATAATAAAATTAACAAGTTGAATGCAATATTGTGAATTCAAAGAAAAAATTATTATTGACTACTTCTATATATTTTCAAAGATTCAACTGCATCCACATTCAATATTTTATTTGTTTGCCTTTACCTTTTCTCCTTTTCTTGAAAAAGTTTGTATCAATTACAATGATAACTATGACTAGTTTTTAAAAAAGAAAACAACTATAACATATATAAATATTTAGTCTTATTAAAAAAATGTAATTTTGTACCTCTTTTTTTTATTTAAACTTCAATATTAGTAGATGTCTCGCAGTCCAGCACTAAAATAGTGAATAAGATAAAAGTCATTTGATTAAGAATCGATAGCAAATAAATAATAGAATAAAAAAATTTATAAACACTTACTCATTTTTTTTTATTCAATCCAATCATCAGTAATCACTAATGTTTCAATCCAATCCAATCATCAGTAATCACTAATGTTTCAACCATATCTAAAAGCAATTTGCCACGAGTCTCATCAATCATCCAACCACCAATACTAAATACAAATTCTAATGCCATAAAATCTTACTGTATTCGATCCAATAGCCATAAAATATTATATTATTTTATAAATTTACTAACATATATATATTATTTAATTAAATAAATATGAATCTGAATAAAATCTGGTATGAATCTGAATTTGAATATGAATTATAGAAAATCAAATCCTATCCAAACCCACGATACTCTCGCAAGGTTCGGGTCTGAGTAGGGTCTGAATTTAAGAAATTAAATCTAAATCCTATCCAAATATATTGGATCTGGATTAAATCTGGATAAAACCCGCCCATTGACATGCCTAGCCACATGATAGAAATCCAAGGGAACAATTTACAACCAAATTGTAGCTTCAAATTAGTACTAATGGGATGTCCCTAGGATGCAAATAGAAACAATTTTTGATGGTTTCTCATTGTAAACAAGAAACCTAAACATCAAAGCCATCTCAAATTCAATCACAAGAATACTGATGGCACATAGTGGTAATTCAACATCAAACATCTTAAAATTCTTCAACTTTAGTTCTTTGTTTATTCTGTTTTCTGTTTTGTTACTGACTGATTGAAGCCGATTTAACTCATCAATCTACATTAAAAAAAAAATAAGAAAAAATTATATCCACAAAATGGTCATCTACTCCAATATTGGCAGAAAATCTCCAAAAAGAATAATAATAAAAAAGAGAGATAAAGTCAACCCATCATCGGATTTACCAAAAATAATAAAAAGGAAATCATAAAAAGTGCATTTCTTTTTTCTTCGATCATGTACATTTCACCTCAAATTCACAGTGAAAAAGAGGTACAAAATGATATTATATCTGCTCATACAATCTCCAGTCTCCACAAGGAAAAAAAAGAAAAGGAGGTGATGATTGACCTGCTTTTGCCAGTATCGGTATTCAATCCAAAATCCCACTCATCCTGCGGTCAAATTACTCTTAACAAAGAAAATAAAGGGCCGGTTTGGATGTGTTGAATCTGGAAAAGGAAAAGCTGAACCTTTTTTACAATCTACATCCGGCGAGAGGCGGAATAGTTAGAGAGCAATCTGGAGACGGCAGTCCGGAGACGAGGGAAGACCCGATGAGTATAGGCGGTGGTTTGCCGGAGCAGGTTCTGCAACGACTCGACGAACAAGTTTAAGCTTCGGATCGGCGGGACGTAGAGTGTCAACGGCATCGCCGAGAAAGCCACCGCGAAAAACAGCTCAATCATTTCTTTTGTTTCACTGGAACAAGAATAACAGACGATGAAGATGCAAATTGCAGTAGCAGCGCTGAAGAACTGGATGGATGAATTTGTGAATCTTGACGGATTTTTTTTATAGCGGAGGGAAAGAATGGGGGGGGGGGGGAGAAAAATGTTGGGGATGAGGGGCGTGAGACTTTTGAGTTGATCAGGAGACTTGACTTTGGAATGGTAGTTTACGTTTTTTATTAGGCGGTTGGGTGGGGTTTGAGGAGATTTGACCGGTCTAAAATATTGCGAGGGAGAGAACTCAGAAATTTCGAATAAAAAAGCAGCGGGGTTGGATTCACTTTAAAGTAACAAAGAGGCAATATTTTTAGTAGGTGAGAAAACGGGTCATCGTGAGGAAGCTAGAAAAGTTTTGGAAATGAATAAAGAGTAAGAAAAGATGACGAATCTTCTTGTCAAACAACTACTTTGTTCTTGTAGTTTCCGGATAATTGCACGAACCACCCTCAAGATAGTATGTCAATTAGCATTAGTTCGCCTTTTGATGATATATTTTTATTGGCAATTATGAATTATACATAGTATTTTTTTTGGGCTTTTTGATTGATAAAAATTAGAAGTTGTAATGATTATTTGATACGTAGTTTAGTATTATTATAAGCATTTCATTTTAACTCCTTCTCGAGCCGTGCATATATGAAAAAACGGGCAAGGGGCACAAACGGTTGCAGGTGCAATCATTTCTGTCGATTGTGTGCATTTTTTACTGTGCATAACTTTGATTGCACACGGTGTAATTTTCTTTATACACGATATAACTTTAGAACAAATTTTTATAGGTCCCACATACAACATGAAAATCAAATTACAAAATGTGATCTGAGCTGTACAAAATTTTTTGGCCAAATCATGGCATCAACTGCCAGCAACCGTTCCTGCCTCATTTCCATGAAAAAACATAATACTTGATACGTAGTAATGATTACTCCTTCTCAAGTAAAATGACTACTTGATACGTACTTTAGTATTGTCTTTTGCAATGATATTAGTAGGTTTTACTGAACTTGAGTGCGCGTACGTGCACTCTTAGATGGTAAGTTAATTATAATACGCATTAGAACGCGCCTCTAAAGAAGCTATTAGAAAAATTCAAACATTTCTGTATTAATTGATTTACAAGAGAAAATCAATTTATTTGATACCTAAACCTAAAGGCGGGTCACAAGAAGTGAGTTTAGTATTAATTTTTCCGTGCTACATGGTAAATTTTTTCTACTAAAGGTAAAGGGCTCTAATTCATAGGGGTAGCGGGTGGTGGTGGGGATAGGGTGATGGAGGCGGAGGTGGAGACGGTTAGTGCAGACGGCGACAGCAGAGGTGAAGTAAGGTAGGGGCAGTATTGGTAAAAGTGAAATAGTTAAGAAGGGTGGCGATAGGATAGGAAAATGGGTATGTATTTTTGAATAATTTGGGGTTTTTTTTTTAAATAAAACTTGGGATTTTTTAGTAAGTTCCTATAGTTAAAGTTGGAAAAAAAATTTTGTCTATTAAAAAAAATGCATAAAAAACAGGGGTGCCAAACGAATCAATAGTACGTAATATTTTAACGCATAAAATCTCTAACTTTCATAATTTCGTTGTTGACAATTGGCCACAAATTTAGGAGGACTTGTCTTTAGTAGTTTTGGTTTGTCCTTGAACTAAAAAACTATGGAACAAAATTGTTGATATAGGGATTATGGTGTCATCTTTTTCTTTCCCAAAAATCAAATTTTCGTATGAATTATTTTTCTATCCATATAGAGCTTTTTTTGCCATATAGAGTAACTTTGATAAAAATTGAGTTTTCATTCATGAAAAAATAGATTGCTACATCTTTTGTGTTCAAATAAATATAAAGGCATAACTTTGCTCATTTCTAGGTCTATAATTGTTGAACATGTTTAATTATTATCCTAAAGAATATCCCTTTTTTTTTTTTTGCATGGCTTGCAGTATTTGGTAGTAAACATTATCACATTAAAATAGTAAATTAATGCCCGAGAGAATTCAATAACATTTCTGAATAAACACATAAGGATATTACTAATATTTCTTTCTTGAATCATTCGTGCCCCACATAGCCATGTAGAACCCAAAATATTCCACCAAAAGTTTATATGAGATAAATTTCATAAAATCAATGTAAATAGGAAGGCAAATCACGCACATACTAGTGTGTGTTGGAGAAAGAGGAATAAATATCAATAATAATATATTAATTACACACTAAAAACAAGACTCTCAAATTTTACTCTTATCAACTCATACAATAATAAAACTCTATATTTATAAGTCACGTGACTTGGTAAACAAATCTTACAATAATAAGAAATTTTATAATCAAATATTATTATTAAATAATAAAACTACCATAACTTAACTCCAATAAAATTATTAAAATCCTAACTTGACTCCAATAAGATATTTTTGGCTTAAATACTAGTAAAAGTAAACGAGGATGTGTGATTTTAAGTTATTTTAGTAATAGATCTTTTGTTTTTGAAAGCATTGTAGTATATCTCATACTATCCACTTGGTCGTGAGTAGTTTGTAGTATATGTTATAGTCAATGATGGAGCCAAGGGGGGGCAGAGGGGGGCCATGGCCCCCCTAAGTTTTGAGAATTTTAATTCATAATATGTAAATATGTGTGTAAAATAAAATTGGCCCCCCCTAAATTTTTTCAATTTTAATTTATATTATGAGAGTTGATAAATAAATATATATATATATATATATATATATATATATATATATATATATATATATATAGTCATCTTTGAATGGAATGGCTTGCAAGCTTTAATTTGCCATGAATGTCCATATGCCTATTACATTCATTGTTTGGCTCATAAGGTTCAACTTGCTTTAGTAGCAGTTTCTAGAGAAGTAGCTTCTGTTCACCAAATTTTCTCCAATTTAGTTTTCATTATCAACATTGTTACTGCATCTAACAAACGTAATGATGAATTAAAGGAGGCTCAAGCAATTGAAGTTGCTACTAAGATTGCTAATGGTGAGCTTGAAATTGGAATGGAGCTTAATCAAATTGGCACTTTAAAACGAGCTGGAGATACTCGTTGGGGTTCTCATTTGGATTATATTTCTAGTTTACTGAAAATGTTCAATGCTACTTGTGTGGGTTTAAGTAACATTGCAGTAGATGGAGGTTCATACTCTTAACGTGGAGATGGAAATTTTGCTTTGAGTCAGTTGTTATCCTTTAAGCTTGTTTTCACTTTGCATCTTATGAAAAATATTATGGAAATTACTCATCTTCTTTGTATAGCATTACAACATAAATCTCAAGATATTTTGAATGCACTGCATATTGTCTCAAGCACAACAAAGCTACTGAAGAATTTTCGAGATTTGGGATGGGATGATTTCTTTGTGTATGTTAAATTATTTTGTGAGCAACATCAAATTGATATCCCATGTATGAATGCTCAATATATTGCAAGACGTGGTAGATCTCGAAGTCATCATGATGAGATTAGTGTGGAGCATTATTATCGAGTGGATATATTTCTTGCAACAATTGATTATCAACTGCAAGAGTTACATAGCAGGTTTAATGATCATACCGTGGAATTGCTTATTTTGAGCACTGCTTTAGATCCTAGAAATGGATTTATGCTGTTCAAAATTGATGATATTTGTAAAATTGCAGAGAAGTTCTATCCGAATGATTTTATGGAGCAAGAACTAGAACGTCTAAGAATAGAACTTCAACATTTTGAACTCGACATTCCAAATCATCCTAAATTGCAAGAATTATCTGGTATTAATGAATTTGTATTAAGGCTTGGTGAAGACAAGAAAATCAGTGATATATCTTGTTATTGATAGATTGATTAGACATGTTCTTACTCTTCCTGTATCAACTGCAACTTCAGAGCGGGTATTTTCAATTATGAAAATAATCAAGACAAAACTCCAAAACAAGATGGAAGATAATTTCTTGAATGATTGTCTAACTGTGTATATAGAAAAGGAAGTTGCTGAAAATTTTAGCAGTGATTCAATCATAGATGAATTTAGTTCTATGAAAGAGCGTAGAACTCAATTTACTTATAAGAAAAGATGTTGAAATTTCAAAGTATGCTAACATAACTTTTATCTTTTTTTAATTAAAAATAGTTACATTTATATTACAAGGTATATATATATATATATATATATATATATATATATATATATATATATATATATATATATATATATTTATAGCATAGGTGACATATTGGAGAGCATCTTCTCATAATGTGTAAATTGGATGGTTTGTGATGTTATAAGATATTTAATCAAAGGTTATCTTTTTTATTAATTTTTGTTATGACTGTACCGTATATTTATGAATAGACATACCTTTATAATTAAATTTAATATTTGATATTTTTAGATGTCATATATTTAAATAAAAGGAAATTATTTTGAACACAATATATTAAGATAATTTTATTAGGAAAAAATTTTGGCCCCCCCAAAAAAAAAATCCTGACTCCGTCACTGGTTATAGTAGTATATTTGATCGAACAACATAAAGTTTTCTAAAGACGATGACTTTTTATGTCAAAAATTCCGTTTGAATTGTTATTTTTAGGAGTTTTTGTAGAAAAATATAATATAGCAATTTGATGTATGTAAAGATAAAACTATGATCGAGAAATGTGTTCATTGAAATTATAATTTTTTTTTTTGCGAAAAACCAAAATCTAAAATATACTGTAACGATCTGACCTTTCCTTTTTTTTTTTTCACCAAACAATCAAATAGTCAATTTTTTTTTACTATCATGTCGAAGCCTGTAAAATATTGCAGTTTCTCTAATCAGCTATACGTGTTTGCAGGAGGTTGAAAATAAACATCAATCTACAAGTCATTTTTGAAGTTCTTTAATGTTTGGGGGTCCATAAATTGTTTTGATAAGCGATAATTTATTAGAAAATGAGACCATTAAATAGGACAGTCATCGTTTAACAAATGCGTAGCCCCTAACAACTAATAAGAAGATGGAAGGGAATAAGACTATCCTGACAGTGACTTGGGCAATTTTTATTTATTTTTTGCATTGCATTTTCATAACTTGCATTTCTTCATCAAATGCAATAATTAGTAATATGCATGTCGTGAGTTATATTTTGTGTACCACAGATTAATAACACAAACAAAATCGAAAAAAGAAAAAAAAACAAAAAGATAAAGGAAGTGTTCTTGCACCCAAACCGTCTCCATGACTTGAAAAATTAATAAATAATAAGGACTGGGCTTTAAGTACGACAGATTGTGACACAGTTGGGCTGTCCAAGTTAATGTCGTCTTTAGGATTTATTCTCAATCCAACTGCCAGTACTTTTGTCCCAAACATGACAAAATCGATCTGCAATACTTTTTTTTTTTTTTTTGGGTTTGAGGAGATTTTGGAAGCCTATTAACAACTGCCTCTGTGAGTTGTTCACCATTTATTTAGTTAATATATTTTCTTTACTTTGCTAGATTATATTTTCTTGAGAATTCTATTCATAGGAACAAAGCAATTAGGAAAAAAAAAGAAAAAGAAAAAGGAGAGAAATAATAGAGAAAATACGAAAACAAGCGAATATCAGCCCAAATTGGATGCAGAAGAAGAACCGGCCCGCCATCTGGCCCAAGGCTCTTACAGGAGGACAGGACAAGAGGGGCATGAATCTTGATCCAGCAATTTGAAAAATATGATAATTCGATCGAGTCCGATCTGAATTAGTGGATATTCGATCTGTCGAATCATAAGCAGATCGGATCATATCCGAATCAAGAAGTTATGATGATCGGATTCGGATCTCATTTTTTGTGATCTGCGAATATCCAATCTGCATAGTATTTTTTTAAAAAGAATTTTTAATACATTAAATTCACTAATTTATAATAGTTTTATCTTTTGTTTCTTATTTTTATATCTATGTCCTTTTTCAAAATAGGCTTTTTTTTTTCCATATGGCATTAAGTTTTTAAACATATAGTCATATAAATTGTGGATAAAAAAAATTGTAGATGAAATATTGACTGTTATTTGTTTGAATCAAAATAAGAAAAAGTATACAGAAGTTACATTACATTGCAATAGAAAAAAAAAGATTAATTTTTGACTAAAAACTCACATGTAACTTTTATCTTTGAAATTTATAACTTTTTTTTTAAAAGAAATTTTAAAAATCTGATATGAATTTAATATTCGATCGATTCAATCCGCATAATACGGAGACCTGAATATCTAGATATCCACATTGGTTACTAATGTGTACTTGGGATCCTCAGTGACAAGTTTATTGCGCCAATATTATAGGTGGCATTGGATTGACACAATAAACTTGTCACCGAGGATCCCAAGTGATTAATGTGGCCAGCATTTTGGTTCACGAGTAAGATATCGGACCCATGAACACCCCCGAGTATTAGAAGGTTGTCGGTGCTGGAATCGGCCCTGGGTTGCTACTTGTCAAATTAGCGACTGTTTGCCTCCCAAATAACTCTGATTTTCTATATTAGATGCATCCCTGAAGGATCATGTAACGAGGTCACACTTGCCTTAAACATTAGTACACATCTTAATTACAGGACATTTATCAGGTAGCCACACTTGATTCTGGAGACACATATGTATACATGTTTGAGAGACGGATATGTACGTAATACTAGTAATCAAGAGTGCAGATCCATAGACAGAAATTTTAATGAGTACTAGTATCAGCAGATCTCTCAGCAACACAATCATGGCAGAGGTAGAACTTGCAAGTTGCAGTGCACTTGAATGCCCGGCGTCCATACAATGATGCTTTACAGGAGGAGCAAGCAGAACGATATTCGCCTTCCGGAACTAACTTCAGAGCATGCGGATGTGCACCGACATCTGTAGTGATCCCAAACTTGATGTTCCGGGATGAACTGGCCTGTGGGATACAACGAGGATGAAAAGATTGATCACATTCACTACAACGATACTGCCAATGCCGGGGATGGATTTCTTCTTCACAAACCTCACAATAGAATTTATCAGGTTGTTCAAAGAAAGGAGGAAAGCTTAGAACGAGGGGGTGCTTATCCCACCTATGCTTCACTCTTTTGGGTAGGAGAGCGCAATCATATCCTAGAACGAAGCTGCAATAATTACGACTACACTTAAAATATAGGCAAGTAACGAAATCACCACAACCCTTGCACCTTTTTTGGTTCGGGACTGGATATTCTCTGGCACTGATGAGCCAGTGCTGGCGGTGAGAACCATGAAAAACCTCTTTTGGTAAGTTTCCACACTTGACATCTAGGCGGAGGCTACATCCCTCGCAATTGAACGAGTAACCATTGGAATCCAAATTGCAGGCATCACACTTGAAAAAGCCGCAAGTGCTTGCAGGCGATGTCAATTCAACTTTTGGCTTGCCACTCGGAACATTACAAGACGGATTGGGTGGGTGATATAAAGCAGTCTGCTGCATGACACAAGCGTCGTGAAGAAAGTGATTGGAGGTTACCCGCTTATAGCATGTAGAGACGATCGGTTCAGTGCAAGCTTCGCATGTGATTTCTTTGCCTCTTGCGGTAGCGTCCTCTCGCACATCAAGATGAACCACGGGATGCCCACAAATTGGTTCCCTGATCAATCCTCTCAGAGCTCCCAACTCCCGCGCTATCCACTCCCTTGCAACTTCTTCATAATAATTGTCCCTGGGCAGCATTATGGTCCTTCGTTGACCCCATTTTCTAAACAATTTAGAGGCCGAGGCATCAGAATTAGCAAGCACGTTAAATTCAAACAAGATAATTAAGTTCAAAGAACTAATTATTGCAGACTAAGGTGGAAATGATCTACATCAAAGCATGGCAAAATTATTCTTTAAATTGGATTTGAAAAACAAATAGCGCTAATGCCCAATAACAGAATAAAGTAAACTAGTGCAATATATGAAAAAAAAAAAAAAAGGTAAGAACGAAGGGCCTGTTTGGAACCTCAAGTTTTTAGCAAGTTTGTATAATACTAATTTTTTAACAACTTTTGCTATAGAAACCCTAAAAAACTTATCAAAATTTTTAACCTGAGCACTTCCAAATAATACACAAAAAATGAAAGGAAAAGAAAGAAGAAAGAGAGAAAAAAAAGAAAAAAGAAAGAGAGAAAAGAAAAAGAAAAAAAAAACTTTTTATCTTACAAAAATTTTTCTACAACTTCTACGGTGATCTATAATAAAATTTTATACAAACACCTAAAAAACTCACGTAGGCAGGCCCCGCATTTGGTGCAGTAGTCCGACCCGTGCATTGATGCACGTAAGATGCACAAAGTGTCTACATGGGCCGCAGTAGTAATTCCAATCATTCGGCTTTATCATTTGGTCGCAGACATCACAAGAAAACTCATAGGCAATGTAATCATCCGAAAGACAATAGGCAAGGGAGAGAGGGTGATCGTGATCCCAGCGTTTCTTGATGGTAGGTGATGAGGCACATCTCTTGTGGATCCAATATGGACAACTAGAACTAGTACACAAGTATGATACATCTTCCTTTCTTTCCCAGCAAGCATGGCACTCAAACGTGACTGGCTTTGGCACGAATTTTAGAGTGTGTGCATGACTTGGATGGTTCAATTTTCGGTCTTCGGTAGCACACGAGATGTCGAGGTTAAAATTACAAGTGTTACAGTGATAGGTGAAGTTTCTCCATGATTGCCCGCAGCCTTCACAGTCGCAGATCCCTTCTTTATTTGGAGGCTTCTCAAGAAGGGTGAGGTGGTGTTGAGGGTGCATGGCATGAGAAATTTTCTCTGGAAGTTTAGCACACGAGACGTCGAGGTTAAAATTACAAGTGTTGCAGTGATAGGTGAAGTTTCTCCATGATTGCCCGCAGCCTTCACAGTCGCAGATCCCTTCTTTATTTGGAGGCTTCTCAAGAAGGGTGAGGTGGTGTTGAGGGTGCATGGCATGAGAAATTTTCTCTGGAAGTTTAGCACACGAGACGTCGAGGTTAAAATTACAAGTGTTGCAGTGATAGGTGAAGTTTCTCCATGATTGCCCGCAGCCTTCACAGTCGCAGATCCCGTGTTTATTTGGAGGCTTCTCAAGAAGGGTGAGGCGGTGTTGAGGGTGCATGGCGTGAGAAATTTCCTTTGGAAGTTTAGCACAAGAGATGTCGAGGTTAAAATTACAAGTGTTACAGTGATAGGTGAAGTTTCTCCATGATTGCCCGCAGCCTTTACAGTCGCAGATCCCTTCTTTATTTGGAGGCTTCTCAAGAAGGGTGAGGCGGTGTTGAGGGTGCATGGGATGATCAGAAAGTTTCTCTGGAAGTTCAGCACATCTTCTGTGAAGAAAGATGCTGCACTCTTTACAGGAATAGGTGGGCTCTGAAAGCACTGGTGCTCCGCAGCCATAGCAGATTGATTTCTGAACAGTCTCATCCCTTTCCCCTTTCTCTAGGATCAGCAGGTGCTGCTCATGGCTGAAATGTTTCAGCTCTTCCATTTCTATGATCTCTCTCTCTCTCCTATGGGAAGATTGTCTCTTGCGAGAATGACAATAGAAATTTAAATGCCAAGATGAAGAGTTTGATTAGGTTTATACCTGTGGAAATGGTACGGGAAGAAGATGCAATGTGATTCTGTATCAATGAATTTTCATGTGAAAATTACAAGGACTCTTATACTGCGTGCCTTCACGGAGGAAGATGCAATATTAATATGATTCGCGCAAAGATAAATTTTTTTTTTTAAAATTATAATTTTGCGAAAATATATTCAATTCAGGGTTTGGTCAGTGATTTCTCTCACGAGTACGAAATAATAAGAACAATCTTCCATTGCTTAAATATTTAACAACATTTGACAAATTAATATTAACAGTTTCCACGAAAGCATTTACTAAGTTTATTAACTGATCCTTTTCCTCCTTGTTTGCTTTCTAAAATGTGAGATATTTGGCCAAAGGGATCAATTAATAATTAGTTTTACGTACACTTCACTTCTCTTTATTTCGCATGTCCCCCCAAATAAAGAGAGCATTTCTCCTGAATCAAGTTTGGCATCACCGTGGAACCCAAACAATTCCACTAAAAAAAAATGTGTGACAGAAGAAAAATAAATCAACAATATAATATAATATAATTACATCATAAGAACAAGCACATTTGAGGGGTTATGGAATTGTATTAAAAATAGTGAAAGCAAAATCAAATATTATTTTATGTCATTTTTCTTTAGTTTGTTTTGCGTAAATATATAGCAATTCTGAATGACTACTACTTTAAGTTTACACGCTATCCTTCATTTGGGAACATCCCGAACTATAAAAGAAAAAAAAAAGAAGAGAAGGTTAGCTATTTAGCTTGCTAAATCAAAAAGCAAGGTAGCTGCCAATTCTTGTGGAAAGGATTTGGCATCACACAAAACAGAATGCTAGTTTTCTTTTGATACAGAATGCTAGATACCGTAAACTTATGTTGATATTGGATTCTGGCATTAACAACATCCTTTGAAATGGTAATGGATCAAGCGTAGCTATACATTTCGTGTGTAAATTGTACGCGATTATCGTACCATTCATATGATCTAGTGCAACTTTTCTCTCTCTTTTTTTTTTTTTTTTTTTTTGTGTAATGAAATTTGTAAGGACTACAACAACTGAATATATTTGTAACAAACCACAACTATACCTAGTCCAAGACTGTGTAAAATGGTTTCTTTTTTTGGTTATTCATTTCCCTAGAGATGCATGACTGTAATACTTGGCCATGCTAAAAGTCAAATATTAATTTTTACTTGCGTGCAATGTGCAGTTTTTTTTTTTTTTTTTTTTTAAATTCGGACTGAATTTGTTGATTTTACCTATCCAACCGAGAACCCAAAAGTACAAGGGTCTTAGTTTACCTAAAAACCTAGAATAAATCTTATATACCGTATATACACTATTACCATTGAATCCATGGTATATGTGTAAAAGTTGAATTTTAAATTTAATTTTTTTTTTATAATTGTCATTCATTCAAAGTTGATAGTGTGTACACTGTCGGTGTATAGAAGATTAATCCAAAACCAATCCAACTTAGTAAAAAACCAGGAAAATTAATGAGAAGTGTGGTTTTTTTTTTTTTCTATTTCTTTCTTCCTTTCTTTATCCTTTTTTTTTTTTCAGCTTTCTGCTTACTTTTTTTTTTTTTGGTTTTCTGTTTTTGACTTTTCCTAAATCTCCTACTCATCCAATGCCAATTTCATCTCTCAAACAAAAACGAATGACACATCTGAGTTCAACAAAGGGAAAAGCAAAAGAACATAGCGAAAAAGGAAAGTGAATTGAGAGAGAGAGGATTCAAGGGTACAAAAAAAGAAGTAACAAAAGAAAAAGAATAGATGAGAAACGTCTTTTCATTTTGTTGACAGAATAAAGCAAAAGGAAAGAAAAGGAAAGGAATGAAAAGAAAAAAACGAAAGAGTAACAAGTTTTGGAAAAAGAAATGGAGAAACAAGAAAACAGAAGACAAAGTAAGGATTGGTGCATCAGATGAAAGGGATTATAATTGATGGTGGGATAACCATCATCCAGTGAGGCCCAATATGTTTACATCCTATTTAGTATCTGCTGGTTGGTTTGAAAGAGGTGGAGACTCAGGGTTAATATCACTTTATCCCCTTAACGTTCGGTGTCACTATCAATTTTCTCCTTAACATTATCTTTTAGTCACTTTATCCCCAAAACTAACGATCAAACTTAACGGAGCTTGTTAATTAAAATTAAAAGACATGTTTAACTCTTAAAATTATTATCACTTTACCCCTACAAACTGTAACCTCATTATCAATTTACCGCATAGAATTATTTTTAAGGCAATTTATCCTACCATTAAACCAACTTAACAAGTTAAAGAACTTTAGAACAAAGTGCCCTCCTCTTTGTATAATAAAAATAATAAAAAAATTTAGAGTGATTCGTCTTTTTTTTAGTATCACGAAAAAGGTCAAAGTGTTAATTTCTTTCTTATTGGCAATCTTATTAATATTGCAAAAAAAAAAATAGAAAGATGGAGAGGGGGAGGAGGAGAGATAGAGAAAGAGAAAGAGCTCAATTCTTTTTTAAAAAATACAAATAAAAAAGAATTAAATACTTTTATTATTTTAAAAGTATTTCACTTTTTTTGTTTACCACCAAATTCCAATTCTAATTCCGATAGCCTTAAAGTAATATGATAATCTATTCCCTAGTTTTTGTCCTCTGCCTCGTTCTCTTTCGTCTATGCATAAATTGCATAATGAAATTTTCATAAATTGACACAATAACTCAGAAACCAACAAGAAAATAGGAAGTTTAATGGCAAAATTTGACACAATTGGCTAGTAGTGTGCCTCTTTTGTGAGATGAGCGAGTGATTAAAAATTAAAAATTAACTGAGTGGCAGAGCAGGTACGTTCCGTAGTTCTTCCTTTCTGTTTCAATGGACCTAAGATGCACAAAATGTCTATATGGGCCACCGCAATAATTCCAGCAACAGGTCTATATCTTTTCGTTGGCACAGACGAAGGACTTAGCCCATTGGCGCTTATAATTAATGTCAAATGTTTCGAAGACTAGGTTCGATATATTCTTTACCCCATGGCCAAACTTCTTTCCACTGAAATCGGCAAACTAGTACATGGATCCAATATCGCAACGGATCTTCTGTTCCACACCTTGTGCCACTCTCTGTCCCACTTTTTAGTATATTGATATTTCTCCTGTATAAACATCACGTTTTAGTTCTTTTTTGTTTTCTTAAGATTCAATAACTATTAATTGAGTAAAAAATAAATACAGGAGGTTCAAAAAAGTAATATATAATAGAAAATTAAAAAATACAGCAGAAAATTCATAAAAAATTTCAATTTTTATGTATTTTGGTTTTTTGAGCTTGTTAAATTTTGTGTATTACTCAATTAATAGTTATTGGATCTTAAGGAAACAAAAAAGAACTAAAACGTGATGTTTATACAGGAGAAATATCAATATACTAAAAAATGGGACAGAAAATGGCACAGGGTGTGGGACAGAAGATACGTTGTGATCCAATATGGATAACTAGTACATGAATACGACATATCTTTCTCTATATTCCCACAGGCATGGCACCGAAACGTGGCCCGCTGGTTTTTGAAGGTCAAAGCGTGTACATGGCTTGGATGCTTCAATTTACGGTCTTCAATGGTAACACATATGATGTCGAGGTCAAATGCACAAGGGTTATAGTGATAGGTGAAGTTTCTCCACATTTGTTGGCGGCCATTACAGAAGCAGCTGCCTCCACTGTAAGGCGGCTTGTCAATAAGGATGAGGCGGTGCTGAGGGTGCATGGCATGAGAAATGTCCTTTGGAAGTTCAGCACATCTTTTGTGAAGGAAGAAGCTACACTTTCCACAAGAATATGTGGGCTCTGCAAGGATTGGCGTTTGGCAGCCATAGCAAACTGATTTTCGAACAATCTCATCTCTTTCCCCTTTCACCAGAATCAGCAGATGCTCGTGGCTGAAATGTTTCAGGTATTCCATTTCTATGATATGCTATGTGGAAATCAAAGCTAAGATGGGGAAAATTACTATGAGGATGGCTTGACAATGAAAGGTTGTGTTTCTACTTTGGATCAATTCCAAGAACTTCTTAATAGTACATAGAAAGAGGTGAATCCAAAATTAATCTATTACACGTTTGGAATCTTTTCCTTTCCGCTGATGTTATCGTCTCTGCTATAACAGTTACCTTTCGCTTTGGCTCAAAGTAGGGATCCTCAGCATCCTAAGTTGTCCTGTCCTAACTCCTAACATATTTCTTAGCCGTTTGTAGTGTCAACTTTTCTTCCTCTATTGCGCTTTTCTTCCTAGCAATATTATCCTACCTGCCTACTTTGAGTCGGTAGATATATGTTGCAGGACAAGTTATAAGAGAAGTGATCCCTACCATCCACCTCTTCGAGAAAAAAAAAAAAAAAAACAAATGCAGAAGACAGAACAACCTTTGTTTATTCCCAACATACTTTGCAATTGGAAGAGTGACACCAATACAACTTGTTTGAACAAGGATATCTGCATTTGCCTTTTCCCAAATAGGGTACATTAAATTAAACACATCACTCAGAAATCTTAGCAGGACCAGCGATTTTGCCAGAATTAGCTACTCTTGCTACATATTTAATGCATATATAGAACTGGCAAGTTTCACATTTAAACACCCTGTTGCCATACATCCGTTCATGGCAAGAGTCGCAGGTGGAACGATATTCACCATCACAAACTAACTTGAGAGGGTGCGGATGTCTTCCAAATTCAAGAATGCGCCCAAAATTGCAATTTCGTGTCACACCAAGTCCGGGGATACAACGAGGGTGAAAAGATTGATCACACTCGCGACAATGATAGTGCCAACGCCTGGGATGAATTTCTTCTTTGCAAATCTCACAATAGAATTCATCAGGACGGTCACTGAAAGGAGGAAAGCTTAGGGGAAGAGCGTATTTATCCCACCTGTGATTGACACTCTCTGGTAGCAAAGCACATTCATAGTCCAAATAGAAACCACAAGGCTCACAGGCATAAAGAAAACTACGAACAACATTTCCACAGGAGTTACATCTGTTGCCATTGCCCCTATACATTTGAACAAGGGAATGCTCGTGTGCTTTGTGATCGATTGTGGAGGGTAATAAAGCACACTTCACATCATGATCAAAAGTATACAACCTGCATGTGTCACACTTGAATAAGTAGCCATTATAGTCCAGATTGCACGCGCTACACTTGATCATCCCCCATACAAATGACACAAAAGCCAGCTTAAGTTTATGCTTCTCATGACTTGGGTGTTGTAGTTCCTCTGGTAATTGAGCACAGGTTAAGTGGACAAAATAATTGCATTGAGTACAATGGCAGCACAAGGAAACAACAGGTTCAATGCATCGGTTGCACGTTATGCGTTCAATATTTCTTGATTTGATAAGTTTCTGGATGTCCACAATAGCCAAGGTATGTTGGCAACAACTGACCTGTACTTTCTTGGGAACTCGCATAATCTCCAGGCCCTGTTTTTTCTCCAAAATGTGTCTCATTTCCTGGACAAAATAGTTGGTAGGTAATTGGACCAAATCCTCCTCATCTTCCTTACCCTTTGGTCCATGCATTCCACGCCTGCTTATACAGAAGGAGATGTTTAAAGGTGATTACATCAATAGATGAAAGAAAGCAAAATGTGACGGCAAAATCATGTTCACTTCTATCAAAACAAAATCAAAATGGGAATGTACTCTCTTGTCAATTATGCAACAAAGAGGGCACATGCAGGATTCAGGAAATACAGGGGTACTCGATAATGAATATCAATCAATTCGGTGTCTCGCCACGAAGTGGGTTCTCTATAATGTTATAATCATTGAACTGAACAACCTGGATTATTCTATAACTAAGAAAAAAAATGAAGAATACTTGCGGTAGAATCCTGTCCCTTGTCATGCACTTGAGATGGACAAAGTATCTACAGGGACCGCAATAGTACACCCAATTTTGGAAGGGTATTTTCTTGAAGGAGATGTCACACGGAATTTCATATCTACAATATTCAATCGGAAAACAATATGCAAGAGAAAGAGGATGCTGATGAGGCTTTCGATGGTTGATAGTCGGCAACAAGGCACAACTCCTATGGATCCAGAAGGTACAGGCAGTACAAATATAGGATTGCTGCTCCTCTTTTGTTCCACAAGCATCGCAAGCGAACGAAGCTATTCTTTGTACCAGAGTCAGTGGATGTTCGTGGCTAGGATGTTCCAATTTGCCTTGAGGAAAAGCACACAAGATATCAAGGTCGAAGTTACAACGATAACAATGATAGACGAAGCTATTCCATGGTTGTCTACAGGCATCGCACAAGCATCTTCTGTCTTTGGGATAAGGTGAATTTGGCAGGAGTTTGAGTGGATGGTTAGGGTGCAGGGGATGATGCAACATCTCCCTTGGCAGCTCTGCACATGTTTTGTGGAGGAAGATGTTGCATTCGCTGCATTTGTATGTGGGCTCTTCAAGAATTGGTTTTTGACAGCCGTAGCAGACACTATTAATAGGTTTCTGATCATCGTGCTGGAGCTGAGTAGCGAGGATGCTTTTCATGGCTAAAGTGTTTCAGCTCCCCCTCCATATCTTTTGCCGTTTTAATGTCGGCAAAACGTAAAAAATGCTTATCCTGGCTGGCTGGAGTGCTGCTGATCTTGAAAGAAAGCGATTGGACCATATGAGAAATGTTATGCCGTATGTGCATTATTTGGCAGCTGAGCAAAGCAAAGGACAGTGGTGGAGGGAGCCAGTCTTGTCTTGTGAACAACTCCTCAGATTTTGGAATCTTTGATCTTTTATGCACTTTTTTTTTTTTATTGTTTTGAGATCATTTGCTACAGGGATTAACTAACTACATGATCAATTGCTGCCTCTGCAGGTCCTCAATCTTGGGAGTGCGATGAAATTGGACCTCTCCGGCAAACATCAGAGATAATATTATACATCTCCTTGATTTAGCTGAAATGAGCAGATAAAATGACATGACAAAGCCAAACAAAATACAGGCAAAGGTCGCGGAATATGCAAGAGAAAAAGGATGCTGGTCAGGTAAGCACAACCCTTATGTAGTGACAGGTAGCATAAATATTGGATTGCTCTTATTTTGTTCCACATGTATCGCAAGTGAATGAAGCTTGTCTTATTAGCAGAGTTAATGGATGTTCATGACTTAAATAAATGTTCCCATTTGCCTTGAACAAAAAAGGCATACAAGATATCTATCAAGGTTGAAGTCACAAGAATAACAACAGTAGAAGCAGCTCTTACATTTTCCAGAACAGGCATGGCATGGCATGGCATGGCACAAGTAGTTTTGCCGACTATCTGACGACCATTTCAGAGAAACTATAGGCAGCGCATTACCTTACACCCAAGTAAAAGGAAAGTGGTTTAGGGTCTGTTTGGTTGGAAATAAAATGTTTTCTTTGGAAAAATATTTTCCGTGGAAGTAATTTTTCATGAAAATCATTTCCCTTTCATCATTTTCAGGTGTTTGGTTAACTTATTGAAAATATTTTCTTACTTCATTTTTCTGGTGTTTGTTTCTCTTTTGAAACATTTTTACTTTTATCTCTATCTTTACTTTCTACACATTATAACTACATACTTCTTCCCATGCAAAATAAGAAAATTTATCTCATTGTTTAACTTTAAAAAATCTTGGAGAAATGTATATATGAATAAAAAATATTTCCTTAAGCAATAAACAAATTGCTGGCCATTTAGTGTCAAATATCAATCACATGCAATGTTTATTGTGACATATATCTTGCACTCTCACTGCTGAAAGTTTCTCTAGAAAAGAATGTCCCTATTATACGTAATTAATTATTAGCATAGGATGAGTAGGATGAGATTTTTTTTTTATTTTGAATATACTAGAGGGAGGGTTGGATTGGGTTGGGTTGGGTGGTACGGGGGAGGGAGTGTAAGGAAGAGGTCTTGGGTTCGAGTCCTGCTGTTTACACTAAAAAAAAAAAAAGGAACATACTATAAAATGTTTTCAGTAAGTTTGGAACATACTACAGGCGGGATGCATGCATTTCGGAAAACAACTTCAGTAAGTTTGGAAGGGAAGTTATTTTCCATAAGATGAGTGAAAATATTTTACATAGGAAAATGTTTTCAGTAACTTTTGTGCAATCAAATACGGGAAATTAGGAAAATATTTTCCTGCAAAACATTTTCACCTGAAACAAACGGACCCTTAGAATCCTTAGTTTTTTTTTTATAGGATTCTTGATTCGTGAGGCAATGAGATTTGATCATCAACCCGATGGCAAGTATAGATTCTACTTCTTCAATTTTCATAGCTACTTCAGATCCTTAACTTTGAGGATTCTCCCACCCTAATTCCAATGAGAGAGTTGCTGCCAATATTATTACACATAAGATGCTTTCAGCCGGGAGAGTGCAAAATCATTCTTCAAAAATTAATCCACTGGAAGAATGACATCTTGCATCAACTCCAAAACTTGATCAGATAGCACATATTAACTTTCACAAGACCCGGATTGGTCCTAAAAGAGCACATGCCCACCAATTTAACTATTTTCTAATCTGACTTTTTTTTTATGATTTAATAATTAGTTTTCTGAAAAAAAAAAGTTATTTAAAACAATATAAAAATTTTCACCAACAATCATGTTATAAACCACCCAATTTTTTGCAAAAAGTTTTAAAAAATATTTGGAAAAAAAAAAGGAGACAAACGTGAAAACATTGGTTAAGTTGTACTACATGGGTTATACATACGGTAAGGAGCATGTGTTGATCTTTCGTGTATGTCCATCTCCTGGGATGCAAGAGCCATGTCCATGCATTCACCAGGTACCATGCCTATGCATATATCTCGACTATATACATCCACCAGACGCAGATCGAGAGCAACTATAAGGAGAAGAAAGACTTGTGAATCCCCATGGCAGACAAGCTGTCTTTACCAATAGCAGAGGTGGGGATTTCCTTCACAAGAAACTAAATAATCGAAATGACCATCTAAAACATGGGCTTCTGATATCTCTTCCAGGTAAAAGTTCTGAAGTTGTAGAGGCTGAATTGTAAGGCTTGGTTAAAAATCATGGCATGAAAAAGCAGAGGTATAAGATTCTTATTGAATCATCAAATGAACATCTATAAGCACGCAGGTTTTCTATAATATCTCTTCCAGGTAAGCTCTAAAGTTTCTTATCATGGAGCATCTCCACCTCGCAGGCTATCAAATACTATGCATTTCTCCACGATTAGCTGAAATATGAGAAAAAAATATGGCAGCACAAACAGAAATAAAATGCAGGCGTAGATAGAGGAAATTGCAGAACATCACAGCCATTCATCAGACATGTACATGATGTGTAAACAACATACATCCAGCTTATGTTTTTCAATGTTGGACCACACTCTACCTAATATACATGGATAAAAGGACAAAAATGCTTAGCCTCATCAGAAGCCTACGAAAAAGAAAACTAATAAAAACGAGTTACTAGGATGTCAGACATGCAAGCAATTTCTGGCACAGTTGCCTGACCTCCATTGAAGGATCTGATGTGGATATTGTTTGAAGCAATGTTCTTGCTTCCAGCAGTCCCCCTGAAATATTGTGGATAACAGCTTCCTCACTTGCCATTAAAGAAGCCAATAACTTGGCACCTGTTATCCTCACCTAATGGACAGGATACAAACACTCATAGGAACGTCACAAGGTAGCACCTCAGAAAGAAAACAAGACGTTTTCCAGTAAAAATTTATTACCGAACCAGACTTTAGAGATTCAAGAGCAATAAAAAATTCCTCCAATATGTTGATTTTTCTTTCCTCAAATCAAATCTTTTCCAGTTTAAACAATTATTTGCTTGCGCGAAAGCAAATCTTGGTGCATGAGTGTCAGAGATGGAAGTTGTTTTGGGTGTTTTTGGAGGGGGGGGGGCCGGAGGGAAGGACTATATATGCCTTTCAATCCTCCTTTGTTCCTATCATTCTGAACTTTTCCTAAATCTGTGTGTGTATGTGCGTCAGAGAGAGAGGCTACCATTTAGGCCTGGCCATATTCGCTGAGTTATGGTTGGTAAAATAATTACAATTGTCATACATCAGTTATAAACTCCGTGCGTGTGCATGTGTCTGTCTGCATAAAAAGCACACAGGTGTATATGTGCATGTGTATGTGAGCAATTCCAATGAGCAACATCCAAAAATATTAAAGGTCACCGTATTACCTTTTCCACAACATCTGTAAGTGAAGTTAATGCAATCTTCAGAATATCGGAGGAGTAAGGAAGAACTGCAGATTTCAAATGGTACACCGCAGAGAAGAGAACCTGGTTGCAGGCAGCCCTAATTTCAGATTCTGTAATTGCCTGCCAAAAATGAAGAGATGAGCAGGAAGAATGACAAGCTCATATAGGAAAACCTATGAAATAATAACACGAAATACCCTGGTGGAGCAAATGACAGGTGGGAGAATTTTCTGAGCCAATAGCATCTTGCCAGACTCTGAAACCTTCTGACAAGCACTGATGAGGACATTAGCCATGCAGAGACGAAATGAGATGTGCATCTTTGCTTCTGATTCCTTGTTCCATTTAGCCAATCCAGAAGTAACAGAATCATTAGCATTGGCAGTCAATAGTCCAATCACGTAATTGCAGACTGAGCTCTCTAAAGTAACATCCCCTGCATGAGTGGCTTTTAACATAAAAAAGTTTCTTCCAGATGATTTAAGAAGGAAAAGAGAACACAACAAGCCAAACCCAACCTGAAGATAGGCCCACATCAATCATGCGTGCTTCATCTTTAGTTGAACTTCTTCCTCGCTTTGAACCTTCTAGTTCAGCACACATCATCCATGACAGGCAATCAATGCATCCATGTTGTGCTTTCAAGACTGAAGATTCCCCAGCAGCCATCAGAAATCTGACTTAAAGTTTACACCTTATGAGAGATCATCAAGCACTCACCATCGTTTCTATCCATCGAAGGCCAAGATAAAATGGTATTTATAGTCTTCCTTATTACACTCATGCCAGAATGCTTATATGAATCCTCGCCTCTGACCTATAATCAAAAGGTTGAAATGATAATTTATAAGTTGTAAAAAGAAATGATAACAAATGTGTGGACAACATGCATTTCCATACCAAGAGCGAAGTGCAAATTGTAAAAAGACAAGACTTTATCTTCATTGTGTCCTCAGCTGTTGCAGCAACTTCTAGTTGTGAAGAAATTAATGGAATTAACACCTGCAGCATCACCATGGTCAGTATTATAGGGGTTTAAGTGTTGAAACACACATCCACAATGCACACCACAAATTTTAGAAGCCTAAACCACATCCAGTATGAGAAAATACAGCCAAAGCTGAAGGAGAATCTATCAAGTTACCTTCTCGTGCAAACTAAACTATGGTTTCAACAAAAATAATTATGAACACCATTTTGTCATGAGTATATTTGTAAGGAGCAGCAATACTGAAATATATAGTAACACATCAAGGAAGTAATCAAACTGACTCCGTTAAGTTCTATTACAATTGGTACAGCAACCTCCCCCATCAACATGTCCCGTTAATAAAAGGGACTACTTAATAGATTGTAGATGCACTTATTTACAATTTCTCATCTATATTATTGTACTCATAAGGTAATTTTGAACATAGGACACATTATTTGCACAATGTCAACAACTTTTAACTGTGTAAAAGCAATAAAAAAGAGTGCAAGTAATGCAATACTTCCTTCATCAATAAGCAAGTTTTGCAAATAAAAACAATTCAAAAGAAAGAAAGAAATACATCAGGCCACCATAACGACTATTTGAAATTTAAAGGCATAAAGAAGGATCATGTTAGACCACCATTCATTTTGCATATAAAGTATTTAAAGGACAGCAACATATTATGGTTTTAGAGTCTCAACTTGAAAAAATAGGACTATTCAGGATTGACTAAGAACTAAAGAGAGGTTAGATACAGTATAAAAATGAGGAGATTTTTCTTTTTTGAGTTTTTTTTTGTTGTGGGGGGGGGGGGGGGGAGGACAGATGTCTCTGCAATTGCAAGACAAATTCTGGTAACTCACTGTTACCGCCAACTACATGATTCACACTATTCAATCATGCTCAATTCAAAACCTTGAAGGTAAAGTGAAGCATGGGATTCCTTGAACTGGCTAATTTACTAAGGAACTCAAGTCTTGTCCAATAAGAATGCTGCATTTGGCAAGACTTTGTAGCTGAGGAAACACATTTAGGTTTTGGAAGCTGGGGCAGCGAAAAGAATATTCAGTAACATGAGTTTGGGATGCAATGATGAAGAGAAACATAGGACACTTATTGATGGTTCTCTACGAAATCTTACAATTGTTCCCAACAAAAGAAGAACGTCTTCAGCCAACTTCTTTCACTACAGATGGCTGGCAAGGCCACACTCCT